CAGACAAAGAGCCAGCTGCTCCTCACCAGTCATCCTTTCCAACTGGTAGTGACTGTCCTGGGCAAGTCATGGGAAAAACACCAAGAACTTCCTGCAGTGGCCACAGTGGCTGCCAGGGTTGGGAGCTGTGCTCCCCAACACAAGGGGAGTTGTTCCCAGCTTCCCCATGCCTTCCTCGGGCAGTTCTCTGGAGGGTCCTCAGATACCCTCTCTATACAGATGACAGGTACAGGAGCAGCAGGTCCCATGGGCAGACAAAGGCCTGACCCAGCAGCAGATCAGAGGCTGCTGGCACCAGAGAGGGTGGTCCAATTTCGAGCCATTACAGAGTTAAGTGCTGGGAAACCAAAGCCGACCAAGGGGAGAGGCTTGCCCAGGGCTGCACGGGGAGGCAGACCCTCCAAAGAAAGATAGTAACAACATTGGGAGGGGCTCCCTATGAGGTAGAGAGCTCCCTGACCCCAGGGGTAGGAGTCAGAGAGGTGCTGGGTGCTGTTGATGGAATCAGGCCAATTATCCTGAGCCCCTCCTGCACCTGAGTTTCCAGTACTGCAAACAGAGACGGATGTTGTTAGTCTTCTCAGCAAGAAATAAGAGGACATCCAGACATAGCCAAATTTATTGGAGTCTATTGATGAAGCCGGCGGCATAGGGAGAGAGGGGGGACTTATGTCTCTCAAAACCCAGCAGCCCCGAGTGAAAGGAGACAGGAACTTACACAGGCCCAAAATGCACAATCATGTCTGAGATGACCTGAGGATTCACAAAGACAAGAGCAGTGGGCTTGAAAGGGTAGGGGGGTAGGGGTTTACAAAGTTAAAGAAAAGGGCATCGCAGAGACAGAACAAGTGGATAAGGGGTTAATCATCCCTAAGGGTATGTTCCATCTCTACCCAAACACAATGGAATAGCAATAGTCTCTATGGCTCCGGGCAAGGTCCTGCCACTGGACCTTATCTTAAGGCAAGGGGGAGGGGGGGTTTAAGGACAACAGGAATGTGGATTTTTTCTTAAGGACAATAGGAATTTTTTTTTTTTTTTAAGGACAGTAGGAGTATTAATCACTCTATTTACTCTTAGGCAAAGAAAGAGAATGCAAGTTTCTAGTTATAGGAATTTAACAGTTTATAATAGAGGCACTCCTCCAAGATGGAGTCGCACCTGCTTCATTCCCCACTTCTCTTGGAGGTCCAAGATGGAGTGGTATCTGCTTCAATGTCAGACAAAGCAAGATGAGACGACCCATCTGGACTGGACGTGGCAGGGCCCTTGGGGTGGCAGAGGATTGAAGGCAGTTATGCAGAAGCACAGAAAATCTGACCATCCTGGGACCAGCAGATAGTGTAATGGCTATGTCGCTGGACTCCCATGTAGTTGACTGCAGTTCGCGTCCAGGACCCGGTGGCTTAAACTCATGCCGGGTGTGTGTGCGTGTGTGCCCAAGATCCTGAGAGGAGAGGGGAGGAGAAGGGACTGCGGCGTCGCCATCCCTCCTGGGGGGGGATCTCTCGCTTTCTGTCTCTCTGTCTCTGTCTGTCTGGCGAGTGCACACGCCTTATAGCAAAACCCTCTCAAACAAAAAAAAAAAAAGAAAAGAAAAGAAAACACGACCATCCTTACCATCTCCTACTACATCCTTCCTATAGCCTCATAGTTAGCAGCATTCCCAGGAACAGCAGAGAGCACTGGTCCTGTGCCAGCCGTCTGCCTAGTGCTGGACATTTGCTGTCCCATTGATTCCCACCACCCAGAATGGCTCCAATGTCATCCAGAGCTTGTAGATGGGAGGCAGAGGCAGCACCCACCTGGGTCTGCCACACCCCACTACACATCTCCTGTTCCAGGGGTTCTCAGAGAATAGCTTCGATCAGCAGCACCCTTGCTGCCCACTGGATCCGATGCTCTGGGGTGAAGCCCAGCAATCGTGTTTAACAAGCCTCCTGCTTTCCCAGGCCATTCGGATACATGCCCATGTGTGTGAATCAACGACGCTGAGCACTTTCCAATGTTGCTAACAGGGAAAAACCAACACTGCCACGCCTGGTGGCGAGACCTTTTAGGGTCTTTCCCAACACGGCCAGTCAGCTCCCCCAACCCAGTGGAGCCTCACCCCACGTCTTCTTCTTAGTCTACTAAGTTCCAGAAGAGGCCCAAGCCCCACTCTGCAAGTCATAATCTTTCTGGGGTCTGGCCTCAGGCACTTCCCTCCAGGCCATCTAGTGCTCCCAAATGACTCTGCACTCTGGCTTCCCTTAAAGCCAGTCAGACTCACCTGGCTCATGATGGGTGCTCACAGACTACTCCCTAGGGACTGCAGGTGTCCAGTGGGCAGAGCCATTCCTCGGGCATCTCCCGTGCAGGAACACTGCAGACAGCCATCAGCAAGCATCTGCTAACTACCAGAAGGGGGCAAAACTCGTTGGAAGAGGAGATTCTGGCTCTCATCCTGCCTTCCTAGCTCCAGGCCTCAGTTTCCTCATCTGTGAAATGCACCAGCATTCTAGTTTCTCCTGTTTCACTCATGCACTGAACAAACCAGTAGAACCACACCCCAGACACTGTAAAGACTAAAGGGGGGGACCAGCAGTTAGCGTAATGGCTATGTCACTGAACTCCCATGTAGTCGACCATGGTTCGAGTCACAGACCCAGTGGCTTAAACTCACGCCAGGCGTGTGTGCGTGCATGCCCAAGATCCTGAGAGGAGAATAGAGGAGAAGGGCCTGCGGTGTGGTCATCCCCCCTGGGGTGATTTCTTGCTGTCTCTGTCTGTCTCTGTCTTTCTGGCGAGTGCACACATCCTATAGCAAAAACCTCTCCCCCCACCCCCCAAAAAAAGACTAAAGGGGTCCCTGATCTAGCCCTGATATTCTAGAAGAGAAATACAATAAACAAGTAAATATTAAAAATAACTACCTGTCAGACACTAAGCTCTTCTCATTCATAAATAAATAATAAAGATTATTTCAGAGTATGATAAATGTATTTAAAAATAAAATAGTAATATGACAGAAAGTGAAAACAGGAGCTGCTTTGCATAGAGAGGTCAGGGAAGGCCCCTGTGAGGAGATGACATTTGAGCTGAGACTTGACAGATAAGGAAAAACCAGCCATGGGAAGAGCTGAGGAAAGGTGTTCTGAGCAGAGGTAACACATAGGGTGAGAACAAGCCTGGCCCGTGGAAGGGAAGAACGCAGGCAAAATCAGGTGAGTGCACGGCTAAAATAGTAGCCAGCGGGTTGGAGAAGGAGGCAGACAAACCTCCTCCTACAATCTCCTACACTCAAATTGGGTTGGCCTGATCCCAGGACATCTGGGCCCCAAGTCACAAGCAACATTGGGGTTTAGGGTATGAGTCAGACCCCAAGACTTCCTGGGGCCCCCAAAGGGCCTGGTAGGGCATCCAGGGGTAGGCACCAACGCTCAGCACAAGGGCTATGCCAATCCCACAGGACACCCACGGGTAGGGGACAACATGGTCACAAACATATGTACCACACAGGACAAGGACATGCCCCACTGCAGCTTCCAGGAGAACATAATCAAGTGCTTCCATGAAGTGCTGGTCCCCAATCACATTATTTCCCAGGACACTAGGACAGCAGCCTTGGTCAGTACAAAGGGAACAAGGCCCAGCCCTGGTCAAGTCAAAACCTCATTGGTCCTGTTTCCTCGCATAAAAATTGAGACTACAATAGGTTGTTGGAGAGATTAAGAGAGTTACTGGATGTAAGACAGTGTTCCTGGTACATGGAAGGTATTCATAAATATAAGCTATCAGTATTATCATTATCATTGTTTTTACTGCCTTGGTTTTCTCTGCTGTAAAACAGGGACATTAGTACAACATCAAAGGGTTTCTACAAGTTTGTGCTAGCAAATATTCCACCCTTCTAATACTATATCCATGGTCAGGGATTAAAAAGAAATTCTGAAAGTGTCTTTTTATGACCTTTCATCAGATGCCGAATTCCCCTCTACCTCACCCCACTGTTTGGAAAATGAGTAAGTGCTGATTAAATCCCATTTTGACAATACTGTGAAATAAAAATGATGCATTAGGAATCCACACATTTCCCTGCACTGTCATTCTGCAAGGGGGTGAGGATGGATGCTGCTGATTCTTCTGCATTATTTGCAAAAGTCCCTCCCCTATCAAAACACAACCGGTTACCCAGTGCACAAAATTCCCACCTACTTCTGTACACACAACGAAGATATACTGCAATCACTCCATACACACTATTACACATGCGGGCACACAGATAACCTACAGTGCACAATTCATCCTTACGTAGGAACGCCACCCCGAAAATCATTCCTAGAAACCCATTACGTTGACCCGTCTCCAACAGGATGCAAAATACGTTCAACACAGTCTAGCAGGAGTTTAAATGCCTGGGTTTAAATATCGACTCTGCAACTCAACAGCTGTGTGACATCAGCCTCCACGTGCCCCAGTTTCCTGAACTGTACGATGGGGAAAATAATACTCATGTTTAGAATGGATGTGACAATTAAATGGGCTCGTATACGTAAATCGTCTAGATCAACGCTTGGAAATTACTAAATTTCTTCTTATTATTCTCCTCAGCCTACCATGGGCACACCGCGCCCCAAACTTTAAACTAACGGAGCCCCAAGAC